CATTCTGTCCAGAGAGTATTATTTATTAAATTTAAAAGCATTTTAAATGAATAATATTGACTCAACTGTTAGCGCAGATAGCAGACAATAAATAGCTTTAAGCCTTGTTTAATTTAATAAGTTATATATAAGCTAAAAATATTCATTTAAAAATTGACTTCTAATTATAGAATAAAAATAATAACTCAAGAATTAGCAATTAAGATATACGAGATTCATGTGAAAATTTAAAAAATTTCTTAACTAAATTTTTGATAAATTTCAAAAATGCGAATGTAAGTTGCTAAAGTAAAAGTGAGAAAAAATTAAGTTTTAGAAAGAAAACCCACTTTTAATTAAGTTATAATCTAAAAGTGAAAGTCCAAAATGTTATTTAATTGGAAATTAATTTAATTTAGTTTCAAACTTGGTTCACCTTATACCAAATTATTAGTGCCTTTCAGGGATTGAAATTAATTATTTTGCCCTGAAATAATTCCGTTTTTCATTTAGAATGCAAGAGCCAATTTATCTACGCATATTTTTAAAGAAGATTTTAACTCTACACAGTACTTTCATTTAAGTAAATTCAAATGACAAATGGCCTTTCGTGATTAAGCAATATTTCCACACTTATGAACAGCGATATTCGTGATGATTTTTTTCCAGTCTTCAAAGATGGCGGTTTTAATATCAATGAATTAAAACAAGCTTATATATTTTAAGATCTTGCTGCGGATATAATGTGGATGAAAGTGTATTTTGAGAGACACACAATGCCAACTTCCATTTCCAATGATTAATTCTGAAGGTGACATTCCTGGAAATGTTTCCTCTTTGCCCCATAGAGAATTTTGAATTTGAAATAATTACATAAATGCACGCTTGAAGGGTAATTTAATTGCATATTTCTTTCTGCTGTGCATAAATAGGTGATTTTGAAGGTACTGCCAAAACCTTCTTGTACTTAACAGCCAAAAGTGATGAATTTTCTAATTAGCCTTCAGTTTAATTAGAGTAATTTATCTTATAGAGAGTGGAGTGCGCGAATGACTTACCTCCACGTTGGGCACTATGAGCAACGAATATTTATAGAGCAAATAAATTTATGAACGGACAGTTGACTTCTGATTTCAAATTATCATGATCTGACAGCATGTCATATTCGAACACTCCACAGTACTCACCTTGCCTTACATTTTTTCGCTTCCTTTGTATCTGTTTCTCGTGAGCCTCTAAATCACCCTTCTACTCCCCCCACTCGACTTTTTGAGAATTTGACATTCCTCCCATTTGTGAAGTCTGAAAGTCAACTAAAGGGCTAACGATGACTATGATCAAGCCAGCCACTTGATACAACTAAATCTTTTAAAAGAATAATCGTGCATTTTTATTCACATTATAAAATTCCCCACTTTGGCGTTCCAAAACTCCTGGCATTTTTAAACAGTTGCTTTCGCAAATCCGCGGTCGCACTTTAAGCAAATGTAAAAAATAACTACATAAACACATAATGGATGAAAACTGTGCTACTACACAAGGGTGCTCTGTTCTTCTAAATTAGACGGTACTCCAATTACTGATAATATTATAGTTGTTTTTGTATAAACTAGGGATTTGCCTATTTGTTTTTTGTGGTGCTGAAGCTTTCAGTTGGCCAATTATTTAATAGGCTTGATCCATTTATAGTCTCAAATCGTCGTTTTCCGCTTCAACAAGGTAGCAATTATGTCAGAGGTAATTGGAGTGACAACTTGCGTGATTAAAGATTAAGTCTGATGTTTGTGCCCTTAATCAAATTGACTTTGTGCAGTTGTAGATGATTTAAACGTTGCAGTAATTTACAATTCAAAGCATATGAACTTCCTAATTGGAGTTTTAATTATTTTTCCGAACAGAGCGTACAAAACATATGAACGAATGGGGTGTGCGATAGACTTACCTCCACGTGGTGCACCCTGGGCAACGTATACTCATACGGCAAAAATGTCTATTAATCGGCAGTTGACTTCTGACTTCAAACTACCATCACCCCACTGCATGTCATATTCAACTCCTTTCATAGTACTCACCTTACCTTTTTCCTGCCTTTGTGTCTGTCTGTCTGTCTCTTTTTTCATCTATGAATCATTATTCTGCACCCCTCTCGAATTCTTCTCACTTCGACGTTCCTCCTCCTCTCTGTGATGCCCAAAGTTAGCTAAAGAGCTAATGGTAACTATCAAAATGCCTGCTATTTGATATAAATAAATAAAATAAAACATATGATCGAATAAATGGAACTTTTGATAATAATTGATTGATGCAAATATAGACGAATCTCTGTGATATATACTGAAAAGAAGGATTTTCAAATCTATTAAAACGAATTGAATATTTGGTTTCCTTTGACAAATCAAGGAAATTTTCCTCCACGTATAGATGGCGTGTTGAGGAAATGATTAGGGAAATGAGAGGATTGAAAGCAGCCAAAAACTCAGATACGAAGAGAGGTTAGTGTTTTACTTTCGGCAGTAATCGCACCACTTTTAATCATATTAATTGAGATGAGAGTAGCAGTGAAATTAAAGTGCGCGCTACTCTATGTTAGTACTAGCATCAAGTTGTCATGATATTCAATCGGTAATAATCAATGACTAAGCATGATACTTGTGAATTCAAGTGTCCAGTGCTCTTATAATATTGGGATTCATAGAAATATCATGTGCAATCTCAAACTTTGATTTTAGCACCATAGAATGAACTTTAATCCAATTAACAAAGTATCACATCAGTTCCTTATGCAAATCAATGAATTTTTTTCTGTTTTAAACTAGAATTTGCATATGTTAACTTTATGGCCTGTTTTTGACACCCTAAAAATTCAAATAAAAATAATCTTCCACTTAGTTAAGCACCAACTTTAATTGAATTTATCTCGCAATTACTGATAAAGTCCACTCTTTTTGGAAGTTCACAGAAATTACTACTGAGTAATGTCATTGATTTTTTATTGAAATTTAATTATAAACCTGTTGGGTGTGCTTGAAATTGATTCACTCACAATGCAAGTTTTTTAATTATACGCCTTTAAGCAAAAAGCAAATTTTATTTAAATTATCTGTTCAATTCTTTGAGCAAAATAATATATCAATATCTGAAAATTTATTTTAATTGGTTTTACTATCAGTAATACATCTAGATGTTCAAACTAAGCCGTAAGTCTAAATTAAAAAATATTAATTAAAATAGTAAGCAACAGCCGATTGCTACCTACTATTTTCAAAAACTGGAGTTGCGATAGACTTATCTCCACATAGTGCACCCTGGGCAACGTATACTCATACGGCAAAAAGTCTATTAACCGGCAGTTAACTCCCCACTTCAAACTACAATGGCCTCACTGTATATCATATTTTACCACTTCCACAGAACTCATCTTACTTTTACTCTGCCTTTGTGTCTGTCTCTTACATCTGTGATTCACTTTTCTGTTCCCCACCCCTTGACTTTTGGTTACTTTGATGTTCCTTCGCCCTGTGAAGCCCGAAGTCAGCTAAAGGACTAATGATAACTATCAAAACGACTGCCATTTGAAATGAATTAATTTTCAAAAACTTATAACTGGCAAATTTATTCCAGCTATAAAACACTCATAATAGCGCCAAAATATAAATGGATTGCAATATGTCCTAAAGCAAAACCTCGCATTTTTATTAAACCGAAATATTAACCACCGTAGTCAAGGAGTGTGTGAGTGGTTACAACTTCGTCGATTTCTTCANCAGGTAGAACGCTCGGATACACCTGAATTCTACCCTCGAGTTAAAATCAAGGCAACCACCTCCTCACTAAACCACATTAACGGACGGAGGTCATAGAATTTAGAGGAGCAATAGACGACAACCTTGGCCGCAAAAGGGGAATAATTAAATAGGCGATTAGATGTTCTAGGAACTGGAGTGTGCGATAGACTTACCTCCACGTGGTGCACCCTGGGCAACGTATACTCATACGGCAAAAATGCCTATTAACTTGCAGTTGACTTCTCACTTCAAACTACCATCACCCCACTGCACGTCATAGTCGACTCCTTTCACAGTACTCACCTTACCTTTTTCCTGCCTTTGTGTCTGTCTGTCTGTCTCTTTTACATCTATGAATCATTATTCTGCCCCCCCCCCCGATCGACTTGTGTCACTTTGATGTTCCTCCTCCTTCTCTCTGTGAAGCTCAAAGTCAGCTAAAGGGCTAATGATACCTATCAAAACGCCTGGCATTTGATATAAATGTTCTAGGAACTCTAGAATAGCGAGCCGAGTTAGGGGTTAATACATACGTGTGAGCTTTAGTCCTTCAACATCCTCATTGTCATCTAATTCCGCATTTCATACTGGCATTAATTTTTGACACAGCGACTGACTTTAATCTAGGTCGTTTAGATGCCAATATCTTGGCTATAAATTACCACCTAGACACAACCCCCTTCTACAAAAAAACCCAATAAACGGTATTCACTTACTCCCACGTCTTCGAATAGGTTTGGATATGAGTTTCAGACATTCCAGTCAATAATAGGAAGCCCCAATCAGGTGCAGCAAAAAATATATAAAAATCGATAGAAAGTAGAAACGGGATTAGTCAAATGCTGCTCAAACGAACTCATATTAGGGAACAAAGTCTAGTCAGTGACTACATTAGGTGATAAAAGGATAATTAATAATTTGGTTATATCCAAGCATTTGGCCTTGCTAAATGTCGTTTAAGCGAGAGGTATATTGCCTTATATCTACCGGGTCAGTGCATGCCAAGGGACATTGCAGTGTCGGTATAATCCAGAGTTGGCTACTTGCCCTTATTTGCGACATTAGCTCCGTACTTTCACAAGCTCATTAGAGGAAGCGTAAACAACATTCAATTCACTCTTTTGGGAAACGCGCACTGCACCAACACGTCTTGTTGATACAAATTAAGCAATATGCAGTGGGTAATCCACGTCAATGGATGAATACAAAGAAAAGCGAATTCGGTGGCGTTGACCACTACACAATGGAACTTACATTTAAGCCTCCAGCTACGGCTAAAGAAGCAGCTAAAGCATTCGGATTTGCTTGAATAGCTGCGGCCAGGGCTGCTATTGTGGCGAAATCTCCGGCTCCCGTATTGGTAGTTCCCATACCCATTGGATGACTGGGGGGCGGAGCAACTAAGAGGGCGTTGTGAGGATGTGATGGTGGTGGTGCATTAGTCGTCGGACCGCCAGAAAGAAGTAGAGATGGTGGGGGAGGTGGTGGTGGAACACTAAAGTTAGTTTGTAGTTTTACCGAACTACTTGAGTAGCTTGCCTGGGGTGGTGATCTAATAACGGAGGGGAGAGGAGGGACCTTGACTTGGTTTGATGATGAAGGGAGAGCAACTTTGGTGGGCTTCTTGTGACGATGCTTGATGTGGGCTTCAAGATCACGTTGACTCATGTATGTACGACGACACTTTGGATCCTCAGTGCATTGGTAGATATTGCCTAGTAGATGGCGATCACAGGATACATAGGGAGCCTCACACCTTCAAGTGAGAAATAAAAGTTACATTGAAATGCTTAAGTGAGCTGTGTCATGCCAAATGTATCGATGTCAATTCCACTCACTTGCCCTAAAAGGATACACATATACTAGGGTGGCATGACCAACCAGGGAAATATATCAACTGCTCAATGAGTGCACACGAGAATCTGGGAGTCAAATTTTGAAGATGAATATTACCCACCCACCCCCAACCTTGCATCTTATACCATATTCTGATACTTTGCCGTGTCAGGAATATGGGAAGAAAAGTGGTAAATCAGCCGCCCAAAGTAACCAATTAATCAACTAAACGAACTTAATACGTGAAATAAGGGACAGGTGAAGTGGTAAAATAACCCTTTTCGTGTCATTATTCCGCTCGATTCCATTCCATCAATTTAACGTACCCCGAACACCGCTATTTACGATTAAACACGATTTGACTAAAAACTTTCAATTAAAATCACGCCCAACTTGACCTTCACCTCCTCCTTTCAGCGTTGAAATAATAACTGATTTTAAATGATAAAATTCATACAATACAGGAACAAAGACAGACAAGTTACTGTCTGAATATTTATGTAGTAAAAAGTGGAATTCGCAAATGATTTTGTGGTAAAATAACATAGAAATCTCGCAACGTTTTTCCAATCTCGATCAGCGGGTTAAAAGATTATCATTACTGGAGTAGAACTAACTACTAACCGAATACTAGTAACCACAGTTACTAGCATAGTAGCAAAAGATAAGTTGGGACTATTCTACTTTTTCTACTTATTTATAATAATCGTCCAGTTGCCCATTATAAAGCGAAAAATGAGGTTTCCTTATTAAAGAAAAAAAGCTATGTAGAAATTGACATTTGGTAAATGATTGATTGCAGCGATACTTGTTCCAGTGATGAGAACGCACCAATCGTTATCAATGAATCTGTGCAGGAGGTATTAAGATATTCGAGATAAGGCTTCATAACATTACCACCATTGCTATTGTTTAGCAAGACCTTCATAAATAAGTAACTGACCAATAGAAAAGGGACATTTTGGATAAACATTTGATCAATGGGACAAAATGAACTATGAAATTTGAATTTTAAAATATTTTTTTCAAATGACAGGCTTTATGATATTTATCATTAGCCCTTAAACTTTGACCCCAAGAAGGGGGGGGGGGAGGTACATTTATAGCAGTTAATTAATAGCAATTCATTAGCTGTCTTCTTGCTTCCCAGTATCTTTGGCTTTCCGTACTTGTCTTTAGGGCTGGACACCGAATCAGGTGGGTCTTCTCCATTTCCTCCTGTAGGTTACATGTAGGTGACATGTGGGTTGAGTGTATACTCCTAATCTGTGAAGGTGTTTTGCCAAGCAATCGTGTCCGGTACGTAGTCTAAACTCAGCAACGGCTTCGNAAAAAATATTAATTAAAATAGTAAGCAACAGCCGATTGCTACCTACTATTTTCAAAAACTGGAGTTGCGATAGACTTATCTCCACATAGTGCACCCTGGGCAACGTATACTCATACGGCAAAAAGTCTATTAACCGGCAGTTAACTCCCCACTTCAAACTACAATGGCCTCACTGTATATCATATTTTACCACTTCCACAGAACTCATCTTACTTTTACTCTGCCTTTGTGTCTGTCTCTTACATCTGTGATTCACTTTTCTGTTCCCCACCCCTTGACTTTTGGTTACTTTGATGTTCCTTCGCCCTGTGAAGCCCGAAGTCAGCTAAAGGACTAATGATAACTATCAAAACGACTGCCATTTGAAATGAATTAATTTTCAAAAACTTATAACTGGCAAATTTATTCCAGCTATAAAACACTCATAATAGCGCCAAAATATAAATGGATTGCAATATGTCCTAAAGCAAAACCTCGCATTTTTATTAAACCGAAATATTAACCACCGTAGTCAAGGAGTGTGTGAGTGGTTACAACTTCGTCGATTTCTTCATGATAACAGAAAAAATAAATTTATTTACAAAAAAGGGCAAAATAGGAAGTCAAAGATTATCTACCTCATAAATGAACAGAGAGCAGTTAAAAATTAACTGAATGTGAAGCTAAATTTAAACAAGATCTAAAATCGTATTTTTTGAAAGTACTTTTACTATGAATATGAATTCGCTCGTTTAATTCTGGCACAAAATTTACTGTAATTACAAGCAAGAAGGGTTGAAAATTTTTTTGTGAATGTTCTTGAATGATTTCTAAATTATCTGATCGAGAAATTATTTAAAATTCTGTCAGAGTTAATCTGACAGTGAAATGGGGATGGAAAAACTATAGTGCAGAAATCACTATGCCAAAATGTCTAAAAAATGTACAAGCTTTCATCTGGCATGAGCAGATATGCCACTAAAAGCCTCAATATGAATATACCCTTTGAAGGGGGGGGGGGGAGAGGGGGGGGGGGGGGGGGGGGGGGGGGNGGGTTTGGGGGCGAAGTGGATGGCGGGGGTTTCCCCAAAGTCAATCGATTTTGGCAGTGGAAAAACTTCAATCAGATGTTCACCCATTCATTGAGTGCATAAAAAGTAACCATGAGGATAATGGCCACAATTTTCTGTTGTGGAGGTGGAACGTGAACAATGCGATTGGAGAACCTGAAGGTGACATACAGATAAATCGGAGATAGACTGTCAAAGAAAGCCGAGTCAATGAAATGAGTGGGATGATTTTCATTATAATTGAGTTTGGAGTTAATTCCAAATTTTATGATATTTGAGACTTTAAACGCCGATTGATGTTTAATCTCTGCCAAACCTTTGATCGCATTAAGGGATTAATTAGAATGCATTGTGAAAAATGCATAAACCGATTATATGTGATACATTTATTTATACCAAATGGCAGGTTTTTTGATAGTTATCATTAGCCCTTTAGTTGACTTCTGACTTCATGGTGGGGAAGAATAGACAAAGTGAAAAAAAGTCGAGAGAGAGAGAATCAGAAGAGTGATTTAAAGGTGCAAATAGACAGACGGACAAAAAGGCGGAGAAAAGGAAAGATGAGTACTGTGGAAATTACAAAGACAGAGAAAAGGTGAGGTGAGTACTGTGAAAGTGGCTAAGGTAGAAAAAAGGCGAGGTGAGTACTGTGGAAGTGGTGAAATATGACATACAGTGGGGTGATGGTAGTTTGAAGTCAGAGGTATATGACATACAGTGGGGTGATGGTAGTTTGAAGTGAGAAATAGGTAGAAAAAAGGTGAGGTTAGTACTGTGGAAGAAGTCGACAGTAGAGAAAAGGAAAGATGAGTACTGTGGAAATTGTTGAATATGACATACAGTGGGGTGATGGTAGTTTGAAGTCAGAAGTCGACTGCCGGTTAATGGACTATTTTGCCGTATGAGTATACGTTGCCCCGGAAGCACCACACGGAGGTTAGTCTATCGCACACCTCTCATTAGGATACATGGTATTGAGCAGGGGTACTGAACGCTCTAGCCAATAAAAATTACACTGAAATTACCGACCGTAAGAAAATTCACACTGTCTCGACATATTTAGTCCAAATGTCAATCAGGACAGACGGAAAATAAATAACGAAGCCAAATTGAAGCTTTACTCTTCTAATCAAATTCTAATTTTTTAACTGTTAGTTCAGCTGTAAATTTGTTTTAATCAATCCGTCAAATCAGAGACAGCGCACTATTTACATCCCGTTGCACATTTCCCCTAGTTAGATGGCAATAAAAGCAGTGAGTGATTCTGGCCAACAGAAGGGTTGATAAAATGCGGATTTCCTATGGGAGTGACTCCGGGTTGCCAATCCACTATCGGGGTCATTTGGTTGCTAAGTTCAAGGTTATTCTCTATTTTTTTATTGCAACACTCAATTGTCGGAAAAATGACCTATGGATGCAAGCAGACTTAGTTGTACCAATAAGCAAATAGTCAATAAGAGGTTTGTTGAAATTGACCTTATCTAATTCGGTCGTTAAACATCAAAGAGATAGAATAAAGATTCACGAATGTAAAAGAGACAGACAGACACAAAGGCAGAGAAAATGTAAGATGAGTACTGTTGAAGTGGTCGAATATGACATGCAGTCGGGTCATGGTAGACCCGGTTTATAGACTTTTTGCCGGATGGGTATACGTTGCCCAGGGTTCACCACGTGGAGGCAAATCTATTGAACACGAATTAATACTGTATGAAAAGGTGCAAATTTTCAATGAAAGTGGTTTCGGAATGTCATTTCCATATTCTTTAAATGAATTGGAAATTTGCTAGCAGCAATTTGTTTTTTTTTTCACAACTTGAAAAAAAACGACAAACAGATTACAGATAAAGAGGCCTACGTCGTTTTTTATTCAACTACGACGTTAGTAGTTGGTAGATGAGATGCGTATTTATATTCATCTATTTCCTCTGCCAGCGACTAGTTTTGACATTATCGGCATAACGTGAACAAATATTTCATTTTTTATCCAGAATCTCTCTCTCTCTCTCTGTGTGTGAGCGTGAGGAAGAGATAAAGAGTGAAAGAGAGAGAGTGAGAGGAAGGGAGGAAGAGAGTGTTTCGCTCTGGGCATGAGGAGAGGAGAAATAGGCAAAAATAACACTGCCTCAGAGAGTGTGTGAGAGTGAGAGAGAGAGAGATGGTGAGATGAGCGAATGGAAGAGAAGAAATGTAAACGCTCACAAATTACTATTCCCTAGGGTGCTTCAATTAGCCGAAGTTTAAAGGCCCCGGAAGTGGGGTATTTAATGAAGCTCTCAAAATCAAAGACACTTTGCATATGTAGATTTACAGAAACAAATTTTTGCTAACGTCTTCTTTATCACACTTCATTTTGTCATACACACCTCTTAGCTAATGCACTAAAAGGACGAATCAATCAGAGAGGTGCGTATAGTTTTCAAAGAAAGATTACAATGAAGATAATACTCACACAAAATCATCATAATTGGTGCGGCCTACGGGATCGATGAAATTTTCACCATAAGATATATTTAGAGTAAATCATTTTTTTGATACTACTGAGGTGTATTTTAAAAAAACAATGTGTAATGGAGCCCCGAAACGAAGCCTCCTATTCGAGTACTGGTGTCTGGGTATCTCAGGCAGATGAATGCTTAGTTAAGAGTAAGAATCACAAATCGTAGGCTTCAACTTGCTTTCGGGAATGATTTAGATGCGCATCTTTTTAGATGGCACCATTTTGAGGTTACTTAAGACGATTTTATTAATGCAAATTTTCATTCACTCTTATGAATTTTATCGTTCATTACAAAAGTGCTGATTTTCTTGACAAAAACTTATGATTTACCAAATTTGAAGATGGTTTGGTGTAATCGCTCCAAATTTTATAACTAACATGCGTTTGGATGTCATATCAATGACTATTTATTGACAAAAATAAACTTATCTGATAATTTAATTTTCTTTTAATTGAGGAAGTAAAATATTTTAATGCTTAAGTAAAATATATATTATAATAAAATGATGCTTTACCTTTAATTGCATATTTTAAAGTGCCAACCACAAATATGTATTCTTTCAGGCTTTGATGTTCTCGCTTAAATTATGCATGACAGTTTTCGTTACTTGCTGAAAATTATTCATTATGAAATTAAAAAGAACGTAATTTGGTAAAGAAAAAGATATACGAATAGAAATAAATATGTAAAATGAAGATTTAGATTAAAAAGAAATAAGAAATATTTGATCCATTGAAAATCACTTTGTCTTCCATGCGATAGCTGACAACTTT